CACTTATTTGAAGGACATCGTAACTTCTTTGTCAAGTTGTTATGGAAACTTCTTGTGTGTATGAGTACGCAGTCGACTGGTTTTTACGGGTGCCTTGGTCACAGACTATTACTGGCTTGTAGATTAAGTAGCATGGTATGGGCAGTATGGCCGCTGTCTCTGAGGACTTTTCATACAAGTACGATCTTTTGCTATTTGCAGGAAGCTCTGAACGAAGTGTGGGGATTTTTGGAAAGAAATGTCCCCTCGTTGACTCGTAATCTTATGCGCGCTATGTGTTTTCTTATTCTTGATAATTGACCTCATCATGAAGAGTGCAATAACGTGTGTACGTGGTATGAGCTATGATGGATTTGCTCTACGTATGAATGTAGTTTTTGTGACTCCCTTCTGAGCACTGGATACTTAATTAAAGTTGTCTCAGATCGCATGAGGAGAATAAAGTCTAAAGCCTCTTGGTCGCCCTAACACCTCAGATTTTAACAAACTTTCAGCAAACCTGCCTCGAGGGGTTGTTTAACTTTCTGAATATGAATATCGCATCCGCACTGCGCGGGCGCACTGCCATATAGGGGGGGCGGGCAAAAAAGTCACTTTTCTTTCTTGACCTTCGAGGCGTTATAAGTTACACTTTATTGAATCTGATCGGACAATTCTACCTCAGCATGCGATATTGAAATACGATCCATGGATACTCTCCCGGCAGCGAGTCAGCATGTGAAGTCTATATCTTTCGTCGATGTGAAAGATTTCTGTGCCAGTCCAATCCTGTGATTCGGTACCGTTAGCTTTCATGCGAGATAGCTGATTTCTCGCCACTGCTAGTACCACCGCGTTTGCTTGACGGCTCGGTTTGCGCGCAGACATCTTTACGTTATTAATTCGAGATACGTTTAGGCAGGGTACATGAGCTGTAGAATTTTCCATTATTCTCTCTCTATTTACTTGCAATGGTCCTTTCTTTCTCTAGAGGTAGCGCCGAGAGTCTGTTTTCGTCAATGGTGGGTTGATAGTTTCGATGTCGGGTAGTTTGTGTGTAGAGCACATGGGCGTAAGCCATTGGGTTATGCGGCACAGTTTCCAAGTATACAGTTAGCGGCGACGGACAGGTGTTGTGGAGGGGCAGAGTTTATACTGCTGGCAGGAACTGTCATGCTGTCGGTATTAACCCGTCTGCCAGTAAGTAATACGGCTGTCTTGTATGAGTTTCCGGGGTCCACGAAGAATTACTATCGGGGTCCTTTGCTCCGTTATTTACCGGGTTACGTGTCCGGCCACAGTCTCTTCAAGCCGTTTTGTGCAACATACTTTTGTCTTACTGTGTTGTCTGCGTGCTTTATACGTTATGAGGCGTGATCAAGAAAGTGTAAGTGTCTCCCTATGTGCACCGATGTGTTACGTCTGGAGTCCAGTCCTGTTTTGCAATGGGCCTATTGCGCGTTATGATTGCTTGTTTTTTTTAGTTTTTGCTGTGAGAGGTTGGAGTTTTTTTTTTTGCTTCTTGGGGAACATCGGGCTTTGCGCCCGCTGAGATTTTGGTTGGACGGTTTGCTCGTGGCGAGATATTGAGAGTTAGCTTGGGTCTAGCCCTGTGGATGGCTCTGTCTATTATTGAGCGCTATTTTAGAGTTCTGGGTGCAGATTATGGGTGTAGGAACAGCCATATATATAGCTTTGCAGCAGTTTTGCGGGGCGGATATGTGGGGGTCATAGAAACTACCTGAAGGCCTTGTTTCCTCGAGCGAGTTCAGTTTGCACGACTAGAGCTGGATTGTGGCTGTGTACATTTAGATATTTGTTGTGGTGTTGACAAGTCGAAGATTGTGATTTTGGAAGGAGCGCAGCTCAGACTTTTGAGCCGAGGATACATTCGTGTGTTTGCGGTATTCTTTCCGTCGGAGCTAGCATCCTCGTGGTTGGATGTGGCAAAGCGGATAAACTTCAGTGCTCGGATTAATGTTTTACTTTGGTTGCTGTATATAGTGATGTGTTTGTTGCTCTGGTCTCGCCGTTTTTGGGTTTGTCCTCTCACTCTCTCCATGCCGTCCTGTCAGGGTCACTTCGGCGTGGTTGGTCTCTCTGCGGCCTGAGCTGTGAGTTACTTTGTTGATTGCGCTCCTGCGGGAACTTCTGGTCGAGTTTGGTGCTCGTCACCGGATAGTGTAATATATCGAATTGATATTACTTGGTTTGTTAGTCTAGATCCGGTTCGTGGGGCGGCGGAGGCGTGTTATCTGGTAGGCAGCAGGGGAAGACCTACTTTGTGCACCGTTACGAAAGATAGTACGCAGGGTGCGTATTGAGTCAGCTGGCAGTCGCACATTTCAACCGCCCAGGGTCGTTTTTGCCTGAGAGGATGGTTTGCCTCTTGCTATGCAACGTTTCTCAGTCTCTATTGCCCCGCACTTGGCGACACGTTCTCCACCCGTTCTACTCGGTCCATGCACCTGACTCTACGTTCCGCCCTTTTTTCTGATCGCATCTGAACAGTGGGAGCAAACCAGGGAAAGATTTTTCCCACCACGTCTCAGGGGAGCGATCGGACTCGAGACAGAGATTTGCCCAACCAAATTGATTGTGCCGCTGGATCGTGTTTGGTGAAATTTATGTTACGATGTTGCTTCGTCGTTTGAAGGTTTTCAGTGTCCTGGCCGCTGAGAGAAATTTTCCAAGACAATGAGGGAAAACCTCTGTCTGCACAATTTTTCTTCTGATATTTCTTTTACGAAGACGCGGGTTCCATAGTTTGTGTAGAATTTAGAAAAACACTTCTCTCAGTTTCTTCATTTTACCTTTTTCTCTATTCTCTGTCGGGTTTCTAGATGACTGGCACTCTGAGTTCTGCCTTCGCTCGCGAGCCGCTATTTTGTGTTTGTTTTTTTGGGGTGTGTGGGATGGTGTGAGTATAGGGAGGAGTGAGGTAAAATTTGGTGGATCCGTCTTTTACTTGTTTAATATTTGTTAAGGGGAGAGGGAGGTGAGTGTCTCTGTATACGGAGAGTGGAGGTACTCGTTTTTGGGGTGCGTAGAGCAGGGATCCGTGTGAATGTGCTGACGGAGATTATGTGTAGAGCGGTCGGTTATGGTATGGGTGGAGAACTGACTGAGCTCGGGGCTTTGTTATCTGTAGCGACTGCCTTAATTTTGATTACTTCAGGTGGTATTCGGTGCTGGTTTACGCCAGGCGCTTACGGATGGGGGCCTACATTCCGGACTGTTCGCTTGTGGCTTGTTGTGTAACAGGCGTTGTTGTTGTGTTTTGATTTGTGATAGATATGATATTTCGTGGGTCTGGGAACAGAGTAGTAGGTGGGGGGGCGAGTTCTTTGCTTATTGTGATGGGATGGGTTTGGCCTTCAGGTTTTTCTTTTTTACTGTTGGTTTTAGGCTGTTACCTTTTACCCGGCCCGGGTTGTAGGTGGTTGTTCGATGCCCCTTCTTTTCTGAACCGCGTTTGTACTAGGAGGCGTTGGCATGGTGATGCTAAGAAAGTGATTTTCTTGGTGTTATTTTTTGGGGTTTGTCTCTAAGGATTTCGTTTCGGAGTTGGTTTTTTCAGGTCTAAGTTGTCTTGCCTCTGGTTTCTCGAGACAAATGGTTGTTCAGAGGATTTATGGATGGCTCAGTAAGCGCTGATTTAAGGATTACTGTGTAGATCTCTTGGTTGTATTTCGTCGTTTTGGATTTGAGATTCGCCGTGTATGTGCTATGTGATGAGTGGAATTGATTTCCGGAGGTTTTTTGGTGGCGACCTCATTTTTTTCACTCGTGCCTATCTTTCCGGGCGATTCCACTTCTTGTTCCTCCTTCGTTATATTATAGTGGCTGGGGTCGTCGTTGTCAGAGTCGAGCGATTTTGGTTTTATTTGTAACTTCGTTCTTATTGCCGGATGAATTGGAGTCGGATGTAGGTGACGCAAAATTGTCTATAGGCTTCTGGCGTCACTTTACATCATTGCTAGGTAATGTCTGTTTGGTTGGTGATTGTGCTCGGATTAGCCGGGGTTACATTCGTGGGCTCCTATTTACATCTGGAAGTAATATTTTCGAATGGTGTCTATTGGAATGTTATATGATACTCGGAGAGCGGTTCCGGACCAGGGGTAGTTTGTTACGGCGAATTGGGGTTCAGGAGGAATTTCGAGCAAAAAGCGGTGCGCGGGATTAAGTAGTTATATAATGTTATGAGAATATGTAGCAGGGCTAAGTTAATTGTTTTCCTAGTAATGTTTTGCGCTTTATTTTTGAGTTTATTGTGTCTCTTGCTTTTGTTTTTTACTTGTGCCCATTTGTGCAATTGGCATGTTGCTGTTGCCTTGTGAGAGGATTTCTGACTTTGTCCTGTCCTGGTCTGTGCTATCTTTTTGCTGTGCCACTTGTCATTGTACCGTTCAGGTATATCTTCTTACTTGCGAATTCCTTAAACTCATCTATTTATCTATCTATCTATCTATCTATCTATCTATCTATCTATCTATCTATCTATCTATCTATCTATCTATCTATCTATCTATCTATCTATCTATCTATCTATCTATCTACTATTATCGTCATCCTCTCTCGGGCTGCCTGTCTAGCATTTGTGTGCCTGATGCTCGCTCTACTTGCCTGCCTGTCTTTCTTCAGTCTACCTGTCTGAATGTCACTGTGTGACTGTCTGTGTGCCCTGAATGACTTGACCGACTGACTGACTGACTGACTGAATGCCTGTCTCTCCGACTGCCTGTCAGGCTGTCTGCCTGTCTTTCTGCCTGTCCATCTTTGTACATGTATGTCAGTCTGTCTCTCTCTGTCTATCAGTTTGTCTGTATGTCTGTTTGTCTGTATGTATGTATGTCTGTCTGTGTCTGTCTATCTATCTGTCTGTCTTGTCTGACTGTCTGTGTCAGTCTGTATGTCAGTCTGTCTGTCCGTCAGTTGCCTACCTCGGAATCACTCTGTTGACAACTCTCTGACTCTAAAGATCTCCTCAGTGTTCCTGAGAGCGACAGTTATTTCAGATGGTTCTCATACAACTGGGAGAACGACCGTCAACTTCTCAGATCGAAGCCATAATAAGCCAAACTGATATAGATGGTAAGTTTTTGTCACCTTCCTTCAGCTTAAGCTTCAGTATTATTTTTTGAATTTGTCCTTCATAGCTGAAACCCTCGAGGAAAGTAGTGTGGTGTTAAGTGACGATGCTTAACACGAGCATGGCCGTGGGGTCGAGGGGACAAGCCTTTTAAACATTCCATCTCTTTAAAGCCAGCCTATTGAAAGCAGACTTGTACGAGATGATGTAAATCGGCCAGCTCCCATATATGTCAGTGCTTGAGCTAAAGCGGCTCAAAAGCCGCTTGGATTCCAAATGAAAAACGGATATGAGGCGCATCCCAGAGGAAGACTGGCACAACCGGATGCTTCTTTCATCTTTTCGGCTGTATTGATCCTATTCTCGGACTGCTAGCTAACCAGTTATGTAAACCAAGATGCTTCTTGAGCATTCCCACTCCCAAGCGAATTGGAGCTCAATTTGTTCCACTCGCTCCCAAAGACCCATTATGTTGCTGAGTGCAGTCTCGTAACGTAATATAACGCGGGCATCTTTTACGTGTAACATCAGGCTGTTTCCCAAGGGATCGCCAACGTTCAAAGTCCACGCGTTTCACTCCGAAGTGCTTATGCATCAGATTAGAGTCACGAAAATATCCACTCGTAAATGCAGTGAATGCAGCGACGGGGGAGGGGGGCAAATCTTTCTCTGAAAGGACAAAGAACGACTGAGGTTTTGCAGCTGGGTAATCTCTTTGCGGGATACAACATGGCCCGTACAATAACCTGAGGGGCCACCGAGTATGACCCCCAGAGAATCGAGGAGCATATGGATGTGATTTAGCAAGTCTGGTGGGATACTGTGGATTGCGATTACCCACTTCAACTTACACTTCATTTTTGCCTTCAGACTTGAAAATTCAACGACTTTCCTTATGTTCAGGCAATGGATGTATCGAGATCGACGAATTCCTTCAAGCTTTACGAAAAACTCTGGTAAATCCCCGTGAAGAACGAGAACTACGAGAAGTATTTGCTGTACGTTTAAATAGTTTATGCTGATGACAATATTCGTGTTGCGGGTGTTATTATCGTTGTTGTTGTTGCTGCTGCTCTGCAGTTGTAATTACTTCTCCAAGTGAGAGCTTACGTAGATCTAGTCGACATCGGTCAAAGAAATGGAGTGGTGTGTGGGAGGAATTTCCACGTATGGTGGATTATCCTGCGCACCAATCACAGGCTTCCATCAACCGCACACATACACTTGATGTCGTCGGAATACGGCAAGGCAGTGCCAGGACGCATGGAAAGAATCCACTCGCGGCGTTTTCTATCACTAGTTGTTTTCCACTCAAAGCGGCCTATTGGTAGAAAACGCAGCACCGGGTGGCTCTTTTCACGCCTCTTGACACCTCCCGGCCGGGGTTGCGACGATGTCAGCTATATCATCTACACCAGCACAGGCACAACATAGTAGCTCAATCATGTGAACTACCAAAAAATATCGTGCATGCTTATAGGTATTTGACAAAAATGGCGATGGAATGATATCCGTCGATGATTTGTTGATGGTAATGCAATCATTGGGTAAGAAGCTCAGCGAAAATGACGCTCGTGAAATGATCAAGGAAGGAGACGTGGACAGGGATGGCTTGATCAGTTTCCACGGTGAGAAACCAAGTATAGAGTTCTCCGACTTTGTGAGAACGTCTGTCACCCGGTCACCATAGAATTATAGGAAGTATAGAGCACAGGGCACGTCATTGGTTGGGGGGGTTCGGTAGAGTCCTACGACCCACCCCACTTTCTTGGGAGGGGGGGGGAGGGGGTGGTACGACACCCCTGGTTCCCTCCTCATCGAACTGTAGAGCGGGAGGGGTGAGGGGAGAGTAGTAGTGTGGATATCATGAAACAGGAAAAATCATGAAAAGTCAGAAAGTCAGCAAAGTCAGCAACCTCCTAGGCCAGAGGGAAATACGACCCTCACCCCTTTACAACGTGTGTGTAACATGAAAAATCAACCATCAAAATGACTTTTTCGCCCAATATGACCACCTTCCAACGACCACAACACAAACATGCCCCCCGCCCGCGTTAGAAGATATCCGCCAACAAAATGCTGCCTGATAGAGTAGGCACCAAAGATACCACAAAACCAACGAAATAGCCGCGCATTTTCAAACTTCTCTTACATTTTAGAAATTTTTAAGTGCAAGACTCACTGAGCTAATCTATTTAAATAATACAGTTCTTACACCAGATTTACCAAGTTACAGGTATCATCCAATTCTCTGATCCGATCCCTCTAGAATTACCCGCTTTTTGTGGATATCGGGCGACGCATTCATTTGTACGGTGCGCTGCGCGAAAGACTCTGACACATTGCAGGCTCGAGCCTGTTTTGTTTTCGATTGCCTTTGAAGGAGGGTGCAGTACCGCGACTGGACTATTCGAAACTCACTCTCTCGTGAGGAAGGTAGATGCGTGCGTCCGGAGTGGACACTGTGCCAGATTTCGCGGCGCCGGAAGTTGTTTACGGGTAAAGGACATAAGGCGCAGAGTTTGGCATTCGTGTGTGCATCCTCTGTTTTCCGCTGGGACTCCAGCCTTCCTTACGACGCTACCTTTCGCCCGTCAGTAGGCTCTTACCAGCAAAGTAATGCCTCCAAGTCTATGTAGTACTGGTCCTCTGATGCTGTGGTCGAGCACTAAGAGGTTGTGCTTCTCTCAATTGTCTTCTTGTAAAGTATAATTTGTTATTACTCGGGAATGCAAAAAGATGGACATCGTCCTCGCCTGTGTTCGCTGGTTCTTTTTCGCCGTCTTTACGCTCCACCCTTGTCTCTTGTATATGCGCTCAGGCTATGAGCGAGACTGCACGACTCTGTTATCCCACAAGCGTTGCCCTTTGACAGGTTTTCTCTTCATAGATGGTTCACTTGGCTAATTTCCTTCCACATTTCTGCAAAATCACCTGGGCTTTTTAGCGGACCGTGCCTTTGAAGCACTTCTTCTTCGTCAGAATAGGTCACCCTCATTATTTTTAAAAAAAAAACAAAAAAACACGCAAAATAAAAGCCTGAAAAAACATCGCGACATTCAAGGCAAAGGTGAACCCTATACACGGGTAACCCAGAAGACAGGCGGACTCTATCGTTTCAGAAGATAGGGCAGTTGTGAAGGTTTTCCTACGAATTTTACTCCATTTCTTACAGAATTCATCATGCTTATCAAAGGACGAACATGAATTGTGAAACGAAAGCGACAACTGATGGGTGGACCGAAGCCGGTGCAATGCGCTTAGTTGTCTCGCTAGAAAGCCCTACATATCTTGATCTGTCACATATTTCTATATTTATTCCTAATTTATCACATAATTTGCCTCAAGCATCTATCACTTCTGTTCTCCTTCAGGCTTCATTTGTTATCTATTTCGGCTTTTATGCAATGTTATAGGTCTTCAGAGGAACGGTGAGCTATGGGCAAAAGTCTGACTGCACGCGGGACTCGAACCCACACACCCTCATGGCCTTTATGCCATAGCCTCGAAGGATCTGAGGCCTTACTTCCATTTTGATATTAAGCTATGAATTACATCTGCTCAGAGGCACTTGGTATGGAACCCATGGGATCAGGTCATCTTCGATCAGTTCAGGATGTAGTTAGGTACAGTCCTGTTTGCTACGGACGTTGAGGGAAGGGGTTTGGCGTGGCGCTAGCCTGTTCCCCACCATTTGTGGTCGCCTGCCAGCTGCCACAAAGCTAGCGTCGCGTCAAACCCAGCCCTTCCTCTCCCCTAAAACGCTCCACTGTACGCAGCGGACAATCGAATATCAAATACATTATACCGGCTTTGGTGGAAAGAAGACGCAGGATCGGCTGAAGCTTTGTACCACACTCGCTACAACGCCAAAACGTATCACCCGACGTTTTCCCCTAATGGAACACCCCCACAGGTCTACCGGATGTGGCTCAGAACATCCTAGGCGCGAGCAGACTAGCGCAGTAGGTATTTACCTAACTCGTCAAACTGATATGCGGAGATATTGCGACCTTGAATTAGCCAGATCCTAGTGCTAATGGCGCGCTGGTGACACCTTTCGAAAGGCTTACGTAGTCATCTTGGGTGAACTTGAATGTGCCGAACCACTGGACCGGCTTGTCCCGGCTTAGAGCAACGCTGCCCATTCAGGTGAATGCATCATATCGTATGAAGCGCACTTGAATGCCTTCAAAATCCTTTGCGGAGTGGCATCAGAATCTTCTTTCAGGAGTGCGCCAGGCGTTTGGCCTCCACTCAGGATCGCTGTCACACTTTGACGTCTTCAGTAGACAGCAAACGTGTACATCCGGTATTTCATCCTCTATGCAAGTTCGGTACCCATTTGCTGACCTGTAGGAATGAAAGCCATTGTTTACTCAAACGAGATTCAAATCAAAGGATCTTGGTGTGCCAAGGAATAACTGGCTCACAGGACCACATTTACCCACCCAAAT